TTTTTTTTTTTTTTTGTGTGTGTTTTTTTGTTTTTGTTTTAAGAAGCTTATACACAAAGGCCATTCCTAATTCGAATAATCAAATTCACTTGCTGCTATTCTCTATTTATAGCTATTCCATGTTTTTCAGACCCTACCATCTTGGTACATCAGTAAAACAACAAGCTGGGGAAAAAGAACGATTATATTTCTAAGTGTTTTTAGTCCAGCGAATGCAAACAACTCTTATTGAAATAGGATCGCCAACTTCCCGTCCAACAGAGAATTCAATAAAACCTGGCGCACCACATCACCGGAGATACTGGCTTTCGTTTGACTTCAATCCCGGAATGTTTGCTGTAAGCTTAGACTCTAACAATAATGCAATATTCTGATCTATCTTTTGTTATCACCTCGTTTTGCGTGGGTAGCACAACCGCCAGTGGCGGGCTAACAAATCTTTTTGCACTCGTTTAATGATCAATTGAAATTTAGAAGTTGACTGTTGCGGAGGGACGAACACTGGTGACGGCAACCGAAAAAAAATCACTAGTAACAGGAGAGAACCAACAGACCAACTAGATACGACATAGAGCACAGTTCGTTACCCGCGTCGCTCGGATTCCCAATAAAAATGGCTATCGGCTAAGTTGCATAGTTTATGCTTGATCTGTGTCATATAGCTATTTTGGTTTTTGCGTTGTCGATTTTGCTATTATTTTGTTAGCTTAATGAAATGTGTTGTCGGATCGGGCTTGAATACTTAAACATGCAGGACTGGGAATGATCCTCTACAAGCGAAGAGAACGATAGTAGAACAAAAGCCGGCGCAATGCGGGAAGAGCAATTGAAAAAAACTGTAACTGAGCTATGAAAAAAGTGACAAAAACAACGACAACGGCAATGACAGTGACAATAACAAAAAAAAAAGTTTAACAGTGACAAAACAAAAGGAACTCAGTACAACTCATATTCCAAATTGATAACTTTTGAATTCTGAACTTTTGAATACCTCTAGCTTTTTCCCTTGCGTCTTTTAAAAGACAATCATAAGTTTGTGGCAAAAATGGTGAAAACATCAGCTTATTGGCTTTTATATCGCTCCTTTCAAGTTCACTATTCATCTTTAGGGCCAGATCAGTCCACACGCTTTCAGAAGAATGAAATAAAGACACACGCTTCCATTTAAAATGTCTTAACACGCTTGCCATTGCACGAGATGTGTTTAAAAGGTTAGTACGACCATAAGTCTTCGTTCTCGCGAACGTTGGATACAAATTTTTATTTGAGAGCCTTTGACTTGAACATCCCCAGGAAATCATTGGAAGGTTTAATCGTTCTGCTAAAAGCCCACAAGGCTCGCAAATAACACTGAACACCGGTCCAATGAAGGCATCTACCAAAAGATTCTCGTTCTTCCACAAATCCACCATAGCCCACAATCCTTGGCTTGCTTGGTTCCTCGTGTCTCTCCATACAAAAGTCAGATTATTGTTGCCAAGAAGGCTCTTATTTCTGTTAATATCCTCAATAGTTCTCGGGATGACTTCAGCCATTCTCTGAGCAAGTGGCCAACTTCCGGACCAAGGCAGTAAAACACCAAGTTTGACTTGCCTTGCACGACTTTCCTTCCAGTTTCCTGACAAAACAAAACCGACAGCCAACACGAAACTTAAATAGCTCTTTCCTAACTTCATTTACGCTGTTTAAAACAACGAGTACTCATTTAATATGCAAGCCAACGTTCACCATGTATTATCAGTTCTTCCTCTGTTTGTGAATAATTACTTGAAGTTTTAATAATATTTTTTCGAAAAGCACTAAAATGATGAACGCATTAACCAATAGCGTGCGTTCTTTTTATAGCACATATGGGGAGGCGAAATTAAAGATGTTTAATAGCGTTAGGTCTTTTAAAAAGTTGATTGATTGATTTAATGCAAAAAAGACATAAGCTCTACATATAAACGAGCCAATATTACACTAACGAAATCATAACATCTTGTCGCTTACCTTAACTGCCAATAACATCAATCTTAGTTTTAGAAGTAGTGACATGGTTTGCAAATAATATTAATACCGTTTATTAAAGTGAAAAAATTTAAGCGGATTTTTTCCGGTGTTTTGTTAAGATATGCCTGGAAAATATATTTACTAAGTGACTTATTTTCACCAGAATATCATTTGAGAAAACATCTCATAATGACCTGGCGAATATTAATTAATTGTTTACACAATGTATATCTCAGGTTGTTTCGATAAGATTTGTAAACCCTGTGCGAGAACAAGAGCTAGTATACTGTCGTGACAAGACAATATAGAATGAGAAAATGGCACGTATGAGACTAAGTTAAACGTTTGGTGAGAATTAGACGGTTTAAAAACTCAGTGAGGAATCATCCATCAGTGCTTGGGGCTAAGATTGATTATTGGCTACTCAGTGCTGTACGTTCGCCAATAGCCACTCTCTGAGACAAATGCGTGCATGTTCGCGTTAGTTTCGCTTTAACTTTCTCATTTGTTTCTTATTGTTTGAAATACATCAATTAGATCTGTCATCCTTATGCATATAGTCTTTATATCCGTCTGATGCTAATAGTCAGATGCACATATAGCCTGAGGGAAAAATAGCCTAAGCACATGTGGGTTTGTCTATTGTCTGTCCATCTCTTTATAAATCCATCCATTAGTCCGAGCACTAGAGCTTTCGTGTCTAAATAAATCAAAGTTGATTATTATTGTTATTATCTATTCTTCCGTCCGTCCGTCCATCCGTCCAGCTATCCATTTGTCAGTATTCACATTGTATTTCAGATGCGTGCGTACAAGCCTCAAATGTGCGCAAGTCTTATTAGGCAAGAAAAATATTTCTTCGTTAGTTTTCAGTGAAAATTTTGACTAAGTGGAAATTTTTTTTAATCCACCATAATTTGCCACTTTTAACCAATCAAAAATTTAGGTTTTTAAAGTGGTTTAGGGTTTTATGCATGACATTAAAAAGGATTTTAGCCTGCACCTTCTTCCAATGATGATATCATTCTCACTAGCTGTGGATTGCCTGTGGTTTGTCCAAATATGTAACAAGATTGTGACGTCACATAGCGGAGTAGGGTCTGGTGACGAGTAAATACACAACAAAACTAAGTTTTGCTCACAGAAAAAAAGAAAAAAAAACCTCTCGATTTTCTTCGATTTTCTCTCTAAAATACTCTTTGTAAGGCCCTAAAACCTCATATCTTGTTCATCACAAACATAACAAGCTGTTCAATGGCATCAGTGCCTAATTCTTCAGCCGTTCGGGCTTTACATTTAGAGTTAAAGAAGCTAACAGAGGAGCCAGTCGAAGGATTTCGAGTTAAGGTTCCTGATGAGAGTAATCTTTTCGAATGGGATGTAGCAATATTCGGACCTCCAAAAACACACTATGAGGGAGGATACTTCAAGGTTAGTCCATGTAGCACAACCTAACGCAATGTTCTTTCAAATTCACCTCGTTTTGATATGTTTTTTTTCTTCCTTTTTCTAGGCACATATGTCGTTTCCTCAAGACTATCCATATTCGCCTCCAACATTTCGCTTTATAACCAAGATGTACCATCCAAATATATACGAGGTTTGTGGATTGATTCGATTTGATTGATAAGTTCTTTTATCTAAAGGATAGTTCATGGAATAATGAAGTGTTTTTCGTGTTTTCTAGTCAGGAGATGTCTGTATTTCTATCTTACATCCTCCGGTTGACGATCCACAAAGTGGCGAACTTCCGTCAGAAAGATGGAATCCTACTCAAAATGTCAGGTAAAAAACCATCTTTTCACAAAAAATTCTAATAATCAATTAGAAAAAAACACCAAATGTAAGTAAGATAAGATAAAATTGACATAAATATTCGAATTGGGTTCATTTTTCTTGATTAAAACCCCTGAAATTCAAAGTTTTTCGCTTGGGCTTTTTTATTAGTGACAACAAAGAATTGGCAGAATATCGAAGCTTAGATCTTCTCTTTTCCCCGTTTTCTCTATTTTGAATTTTAGTATATTTTTATTTTTAGTAAGAAAATTAGAAAAACTTGTAGATAATTCGTCATATATAAACATGAAAATATAATATAAATTTTCTCTCTTATATACTCACAACGTGCCAGACTCGATTCATTTGACTAACAATAAATAAAACATTGAAAAATAATTCCTTATGTGTTATTCATGAGTTATTTTATGATGTTTAAGAATATCATTGAGTAAAAAACCCATTATTTCTTCCATTTATCTTAAGTTCTAACCTTCAGTGTTGACTGCTTATAAGTATCATTTAGTATCTATGGAATATTTTTTCTTTCCCAAAAGGAAAAACTTTTGAAATCACTGTAAACGTTTTCAGGTGACTTCAGTATGTTATACTCATGTTATATCAACAATAAAACCCATCTTTCTTCAACCATAACCTATAAAAATATAACCAAAAACCTTTTCCAACATAAGTTTTCATTCCTATTTTCTTTCTTTCTTCAAAATTTTAATATAACATTTATCTTGTTTTAAATATTTTTTAATTGAAAATTTTTTTCTCATTTTTTACCTAACTGTTTGGGAAGTATAAATTGTGCTCAAAGGTTGCCTTTAGAGGATTTCTTTATACAAAATATTCAAATGATTACTTTTGGCTGTAATTCCTGGAGTTGGATAGATCTATTCAGGGACCATGGAGCAGGGGGTTTGGGGCTATAGACCCCCAATGATTTTGCCGCCATTTTGAATTTGGCACAATATTTCTATAAATTTAGTGCAGAAAAATATGTTCCCAATGTCCCTCAAAATGCTGGAAATCGCATTTACGAGAGTCGTGATTTCAATATTTTCAGGGGGGCATGCCCCCAAACCCCCTAGTTGTTCCAGCCTTCATCGGTCAATAGCTCCCCCCCCCCTAATACAAAATATGCTCCGCGGTCCCTGCTATTAATGAGATACACAAACAATGAACATGAATAAATCTAACCACTGAGCTACTAGAACTCAAAATACCATCACAGATAACTCACAGATTGAACCCTGAAACAACCTCTTGGCTGATCTAAGTCAGGGCAAGGCTAACTTGTAGATTGAACCCTGAAACAACCTCTGGGCTGATCTAAGTCAGGGCACGGCTAACTCACAGATTGAACCCTGAAACAACCTCTGGGCTGATCTAAGTCAGGGCAAGGCTAACTCACAGATTGAACCCTGAAACAACCTCTGGGCTGATCTAAGTCAGGTCAAGGCTAACTCACAGATTGAACCCTGAAACAACCTCTGGGCTG